GCGAAGCCGGGCATGAAAAAGTGGAGACGTGGGAATGGGACCATGTTGACAGCAAGTTTACGGAGATCGGCATTCAGCTGACCTGGGAACCTTAGGCAAGTTGTCACACCAGACATTGTGAGGGACACCAGATGGTTCAGGTCACCATATGTGGGAGTCGTGAGTTTCAGCGTCCTGAAGCAAATGTCATAGAGGGCCTCATTGTCAATGCAGTATGTTTCGTCAGTATTTTCAACCAACTGGTGGACAGACAATGTGGCATTGTAAGGTTCAACGACAGTGTCCGATATCTTTGGCGAAGGTACAACTGAGTACGTGTTCATTATCCTATCGGGATATTCCTCTCTGATCTTGGAAATAAGCAACGTGCCCATGCCAGAACCAGTTCCACCTCCCAAGGAGTGGGTCAGCTGAAAACCCTGAAGACAGTCACAACTCTCTGCCTCTTTCCTTACCACATCCAACACAGAGTCGACCAACTCAGCACCTTCGGTATAGTGTCCCTTAGCCCAGTTGTTGCCAGCACCACTCTGACCAAAAACAAAGTTGTCAGGTCTGAAAATCTGACCGAAAGGCCCAGATCGGACAGAGTCCATTGTGCCGGGTTCAAGATCCACCAAGATAGCGCGGGGTACATACTTTCCACCCGATGCTTCATTGTAGTAGACATTTATTCTCTCAAGCTGCAGGTCGGAGTCACCGTGGTAGGTGCCAGTTGGGTCGATACCGTGCTCATCAGAGATGATCTCCCAGAACTGCAGACAAAAACATGTACCTAAGATAAGCTATGAGTTCCACCAAAGCAGTAATCCATAAATCTAACCATTCCCTCATTCATTACTGCATGCGCTTTGTTAATTTTGGCCAAGTTTTGACCACAGGTTTCAGACAGCAATAGTACAGCCCAGACTGCCTGGCAAAAATTACTAAATATTACAAGTACAATATGTGAGCCAGGATAGCACAGTCAGTATAGCGACTACCTATGGTCTGGACAACCAAGTGGTCGGAGTTCCGAGTCCTGGTAGGATCAAGAATTTTTTCTTCCCCATATCATCCAAAAAGGCTCCGGGGATCACCAAACCTCCTGTCCAGTGTGTACCGTGGGCCCTTCACCTTGGGGTAAAGCGGCCGGTCCGTGGAGCTGACCACTCACCCCCAAATAATGCCGAGGTCAAAGGAATGTGTATCTATACACCCACACCCCCATACACCTTCATGGTGTAGTGCTTAATTAGTCAAGCACAGGGACAACTGTACTATTTACAAGTATAATTTTCTTGTGAACGTTAGACCAGATGAAAAATGTAACATGGCTGAAGGTCAAACACCAGAACATAATGCTGGAACTATTTCTTGCAAGAGTCAAAACCACAAGATCTATTTCTTCTTCAAGTAAAATAGTAATCCACTGCTGAAGGAGTTATCATTATGAGGGCAATTACAACAAAATGGGCCAAAAACTTTCAAGATGTGCCAGGTGTGTGAAAGAGAGCACTAGGACCACAAGTCAGTCTACAGGAATGTGCCAGAGAACTGTAAATTTGTCACCTTCCACCAGACAACTGATCATGATCATGACCATGTGAAATGCACATATAAAAAGGAAGTCCTCTGCAAACACAAGGGTAGTTTTACTGATCTGACTTGGACAGTGACAATAGGAAGTCCTCTGGAAACACAAGGGTAGTTTTACTGATCTGTTTTGGACAGTGACAATAATACTTACTCCCCACACCTCAATGGCTGATCAGAACTACAGAGGAAAATTTTGTTTTATAAATTAATCCTACTGTATCTCTCATCATGCAGAGTAATTATGGGAGACTGAACGTGATAATAAGTACACTTGCCTGAAGAAAACTATGTACATTGGCAGGGACGTAAACATGTAAAATATGAAGTTGCTTAAAGTTGTCTGTTAGCTCACAAAACATAAGAATTTTTAAATGTTCTTACATATTTTGTTTAAAAATATCCAAATTCATGGGCAGGCTACACTAGTTCCAAAATATGATAAAGCCCATTTCCTGCTTACTTTTGTAGCCATATAAATACAAACCGCTCTGTCCAATGTGACATGTAAGTTTTTACTATGTTAAAACTTATCTCCCTTACATGTTTCAGTCCTTACGGGACATCTTCAGAGGGAACATCATTACAAACTGGAAACTACCATCACAATAGGTGTTTTGATTTAAAATACATACTTATATCCTATAGTACACAGTACGCATAAAGTCAAACGTTTCACAGTCACAGCAGCTTCCTGGTGATGTAAAGTTTTTAAAAGTTTCTAGATGTTATTTAAAAAACCTTTATTGTCAATACTTAAACTTTTTTAAACCACGTAGGTTCGTGTCCATACTCCTATCATCCTTCTTGTATGGGGCAGATTTTGTGCCGCCTGTCTATATTGATGAGGAGTAAAAACAACACAGCAAGCCACAAACAAACCTGGACGAGATCAAGAACCTCCTCATCAAGATAGACAGGCGGCACAAAACCTGCCCCATACAAGAAGGATGATAGGAGTATGGACACGAACCTACGTGGTTTAAAAAATTTTAACTATTGACAATAAAGGTTTTTTAAATAACATCTAGAAACTTTTAAAAACTTTACAACACCAGGAAGCTGCTGTGATTGTGAAACGTTTGACTTTATGCATACTGTGCACTATAGGATATAAGTGTAAGTATTTTAAATCAAAACACCTATTGTGATGGTAGTTTCCAGTTTGTAATGATGTTCCCTCTGAAGATGGCCCGTAAGGACCAAAACATGTAAGGGAGATAAGTTTTAACGTAGTAAAAACTTACATGTCACATTGGATGGAGTGGTTTGTATTTATAATTGTTAGTGTGACGGACCAGAATGAAACAAATCAAATTTTGTAGCCAGATTACACATTCATGACAACAGCAACATGCCTCCTATTGACTACTTCCAAACCACGAAGTACATATTCTACACCACAAACAACTTTTATATATCAAATTTTCTATCTCTTAAAACAAAATCTGTTTTAAATGTTCCTTTACATTTTATGCAAAACTTGCTTCAAATTTGCAGAATTTCAAAATGTGATCAAATCCATTTACTGCCCACTTTTGTAGCCAGAAATTCATTGTAATGGATGTTAATGTCAGTCACATGTCCATACACTCATTTCCAAACTGCAGCACATAAACATTTTCCACATTACAAACATTTTCAGACTACATGGTAAGCTTGGTGTTAAAATCATGTCAAGATGCCCCCGCCTTTCCACTGGGATTAGGAAATACACATTTGCTAACACAGGAGCAAGCTATTTCTTATGCACAGTTTTCTTTCATGGAACAAATTTTCAAACCTCGTGCTGGTAAATGCAATCCAAAGAATATATTTCCTCTTTTGACATAATATGTCATAACCTAATCCACTTGCATCCCATACTGCAGCACTGCTATGGTTCAAAATAGGTAATGCCAATTCACAGTCATCAGACAGACAATTCATTCGCAACTCTTAATTAAACAAGGCTTTGGTACTGTTATCAGGAATGTCATCTTGAAAGCCATATCATAAATTGGGCATTTTTGCTCAGTATCTGTATATATGTGTGACCCTTACACAAAATTACTGTCAAGACTAATCATGTAAAAATGTGTTTATAGTAAGCTCCTGAAAGGACCCTTAGAACACCAGTTAGCCTATACCCAAAACTCTGGCTGCTAATGGTAACAGCACCACTGCATGATGGGCTCAATCTCCCTGAGCCGCAAACATTTAGACCTGCTTCTTGTTGGTTTGCATAATACTGATCAAAGGGATATGACACTGTGTAGTCTGTTCTAAGAGTACATATCTTTCACAGGACCATAGTACTTCCATCTACATGGTCAAAGGGTTAAATAGCAGGAAAGCAGAGTGTTTGCATGTTCTACTCCTGAACTCTGAAATGGAGGTAGTATGTTGTTCGAAATACCTGTGATCCACAAGACGGGAGTCACATCCTGAAAGATAGCATCCTTCAATCACTACCATCCAAATGTCAAAATTTCATGAAGTAGGAATGTATTTATAGCACTCCTAAAATTACACCAGAATACCAACCTTCTTTTAACTAACTTACTGCATACAGTCTTACTCATACAGCCAATTTATTCATAAGGTTTGAGTGTAAGGTGAAAACCATGTCTAGTCCCCTTATGTTTATATATGAAATATATATCTTTATCATGAATGCGTTCATTTAAACGGGTAGTTACAGCTAAACGTTTGTACCACACAGATGTATCATGACACACCATATCATAATGCATTATAGTATAGAGACCCTGTACACCCAGTACTAATAAACATAGCAATCAAAGTGCTGAAACCATTTAAACAACTTTATCTTCACATTTACATATGTTAGGAATTTAGTTTATTTACAAAAAAAATGTGATATAGAAACATATCTATACCACACACAGACACCCATACTTTAACAACAAGAGTTTCGACCCGGAAAATGCACCCCCTCTAGTTTCAGAGAAAGGTTGTAAGATGTTAGGAGTACACTGTGGTTTAAAAGCAACTCTGAAATAGGAAGGTTGCAAAGGGTTATTTCCCACGTCTGCCTTGTAAGTACTGTATTAAAGTTCCAAATTAAATTTCAGGATCATAAATCATTAAGGAAACTGATTTGCCCAAGTTCATGCAGCATTCCAGTGAAAATTTTACTATTAGAAAGTAATTTAGTCGCAAGGTCTAAGACTATGAGGTTGCCAACAGAATGTAAAGAGACAGTGATCTCTTCCTGTCTTGTGCTTTCTTTACTTTACTTCATCATAAGTGTGTCACAGTCTCTCCTAGTTGCCAATAAATTATCTCACTGCAACTGATGCTGGTAGTTCTGGCTGCAACACCTTTCAGACTCTCATGCAATCCAGCTCCGTAGTCCGTCCCAACAGATTCATTTACTTGCACTTAATTACATTTATGGGAATACATCTCACTTTGGGACTAATCCCTTTAATTAATTCACTTTGATGTAACCCTGAAGGGAGAGGTGAGTGAAAGGTCAGCGTTTTGGCTAGAGTGCCAACCTACAAATGCTTTCCTACTGAGTTTATACATAGTGTGAAGGGTATCCTAAGAATGAAATGAGACTTTGAAACTCCTTAGACATTAGATTTCTCCTTTTCCAGGATAAATACAAATAGCAAACAGTGGAGCTATAAAGTGGAAAGAACACTGTTCTAATCCCATGTACAGGGGTGATAGTCTATCAGTACAAGTGGCCAGCTGCTTGCCCAGTTACTGTATAACTGTACTATGTACTATGGTAACAATGACGTGGACAAATTTTCTTACGGTGGTTCAAAAGAGAATATGGGTATTCGTTCCACTTGCTGGTCAATATTTAATATTCTTTTATTTCACATTCACATGTTGGAATGATATGGAAGAAATGTGATCGAACACGAATTTGGAAATGTACAGACCCTTTTCAAACTTCCGTGTAGCGTCTAAAGACGATTTCGACGAATAGTGACATATTGATGTAATATCCGACAAAACTAAAACTACGAAACACCAGTGTGCAAAATCCTTCTCTCAGCTGAGATTCGAATACATACATTACAAAAAAAAAATGGGGGGGAATGGCCTACTACAACGCGTAATCAAGTATATCTACCCGTCTTTGCATAATCAAGACTGTTTCGTTTCGAGGGCATTCCAACCCATGCAGAAATTCTGTAATGCGCCAAGGAAGGTGGCAGTGTCAAAAAGAGCCACTAAAATATTACATCTGGATAGCATAAACCCCACAGAGAATCACATTTCCATAGAAAAAATAATATACCAAATTTAAAAAATATACAAACACAAAGCTAAAACGAACAAAGACACTACCAAATTAAATAGTACACGTCAATTATGATTAAAAGGTCTTCAAATTGTCTTATACATTCAATATGTGTAAATCTTTACCTTAGCACCAATTTGATTGCCGCACTGGCCAGCCTGGATATGTACTATTTCCCTCATTTTGTTCTTCTGCTTTTCCTGCAACGCTTTCTTCTCAACAACTGGGAGCAAATTGAACTAAACTGGTCTGCTGTCGGTTCTCCTCACGGATTTTTGAAGCTACGGAAGCGACGCCCGTGCTGTAACCTAATTGGCTAATTTCAAACTGCTCGAATGACGCAATTCAGCGCAGCCAAGCTTCAAGAAAAGTCACCAGCTAACGCGGTAATCGTGATACGTTACTTCACACATGCAGCTTCTGTCCTTTTCCGGGTTTACTACTTTTAATATCGTGCTATTCTTTTAAGAATAATTTTTTTAATTCGCTTAGTGGGTGGAGTCCAACTGGGTCCACTCGGCACGGCGGCCACTGATTGGCCTATTGTACCTGCCCCGGGTGATTATGATGATGGAGAATTTGGTGGAATGAAGATTGGCATGGGAAAACGAAGTACTCGGAGAAAACCCGACCCAACGCCACTTTGTCCACCACAAATCCCACTTGACTATACCCGGGATCGAACCCGGACCGCCGCGGTGGAAAGCCAGCGACTAACCGCTTGAGTTATGGCGCGGCCCTTCTTTTAAGACTATATTTTCTCCCAATATTTAAATATATTTTAAATTTATTTGAAATACAATTACGCTGTAAATATAGAAGCATAACTATAAATCTGTGAATATGCGGGGATTACGGAACGTAAACTATGTTCCTCACTGAACGACGTCAAATCAACTAAAGAAGATATGATAAGACGCAGAAAGGTGCTACTATGGTGTGCGGACTCGAGTCTGAATCATGAATGAAGCAAGACTGCGTCTTTTGTCTAATGTCTTGATGCTTGTCTTGAAGCACTTGGTGTGCGGCCGCCCTTAGACTTCTCTAATTGAAATGCTGACTGTATACGAGGCTGTAGTAATGACGGCCTGCGCAGTCTGTTCGCGTATTTTCGTTGACGGCGTTGGGACCAACAATCGTCCTCTCAAACAACCGCCTTAAACCACCAATTGCCATGAACACCAACGTGACCGAACGTGACGCAGGACGTATATGGCGATGTGTTACTGCACGACGACAATTGCACTGCCCATTGCCCACATGATTGCCTGGTTTTCTTTCCCTTCGTAGGAAGATAAACCGAAACCTTCATGCTACAGTTGCTTCTGCGCGGCCGGTTGCAGAATTCCCCTTGTTATATTTTAACTAACTCTGCTTACTGAACAAATCACTACATAATTATATCGAACTGAGTCACTGAGAGGCCAGCAGTTCTTTAACCACTCATGACATTCCAAGCACTTTACAGAACCCATAAGTTCATCACCGTGTTCACAAGATCCCGCCATTGGTCTCTATCCTGAGCTAGATGAATCCAGTCCATACCACCCTATCCACACATTTCATATTTTCCTCCTGTCTAAGCCTGGTTCTTCCCAGTGGTATTTTCCTTCCGGCTTTATCATCAAACATCTGTATGCATTACATTTCTCCCCGTGCGTGCTCCATGCCCTGTACATCACCCAAGACTTTAGCATTTAAATTCTATTTGGTGAAGAGTGCAAGTTATGAAGCACCAATCATCCCACTAGACGGAGATGAGTACTCGATCAGCTTCACGTCCCTGCCGTTTTACCCCCGGGGAAAGAGAACCCGGTACCCATTGATCAGGAACCTGAGTAGGCCCTGAGCTGGTGTCGACGCTATGGAGAAGAAGAAACCCTTGCCTCTGCAGAGAATGGAACCCGAGTCGTCCGGTACTTACCCCTTCCCTATACTGACTGAACTAATAATCGTGTGAGACTATGCATACATTGTTGTAACATCAAACTGAAAATGAGGAACAGAATATATTTTGGAAATCTAAATTTTAACTTGGCATTAAGTGCTTTTATCCTCATTCCCAGACAGAAGATTCTAAAACCAATGCTACTCTGTTTAGGTCTACTGCGTCTAGCCTCTACACGATCAGTGCAAAACGTCCGTCATCTTAATCCTTCAGTGCAGAGCCGTATATGAAGAATTGTTTTCCTTTGCCCATATAGCTTGCTTGTGGGTCAGTGTACGGTTCTCACAATAAACAGTGAATATGTCCCTACATTGGTATGGGTAATGGAGGCGCAGTAAGTTGCTGTGACAGAAACTATATTATTATCTAGGCAGGTTTATCCAGACTCGGCAGAGATGCAAGAGATTTGAGGCCCTCATGGCGCTGAATTTGACTCTGGTAGAGGCTTACTGACGTTTCGGAGGAACCTGCTGCCTCCGTCTTCATCTTGCACCGTGAAACTTCTCCACGATACTAACGAACCAAGCCGCCGGGGTGGCATGTTCTTCGCATTTGCTTTTTCCCTTCAGGATCCAGAGAGTTAAAGAGGGCGACCTAATAAAGTTGTGTGACTTCGAGCTCTTTAGCAGCAACAAATAATCGTCGGTGGAAATTTCTTTCAAGGTACGGATGAACCCAGAATCTTCTTCATATTCTTTCTCTTCTATAGCGATGAAAATATAATAATATGACAGCTTCATCGCTTGAACTGTCACTGGAATCATCACTAACCAACAAAGACCGAAATGATGGTCTTTCCATGATTTCACTGAACATACTACTGATTTTGATCTTTTTTGAGTAGCTTCGTGTGTGGATCCGCGTCCCTAATGAGTCAGTAACTGATTGCTGATTCCAGTCGCAAACCAGTTCCGCTTATTTTGAGTAGCTCCGTGTGTAGACGGCCTTACACCGAGCGGATGTAGCCCTGCAGCCACAGCGCACAGTAAGCAAACACTGCGACAGGAACAGGTTCAAATAACCACTGTACACAGTGCGTCTCCAACTCCATTCCTTTGAAGCGACTCCGAGTATAAATCGAAGGTCCCTAGACAAGGATGTCTACTCCTCCTTCTGACGGCTAGGCACTGGACGAGGTTCCTCGGGTAATGACAGCTGGACCGAGGTTCGGCAGGACAGAAACAGCCGTGCTACTCGGACTCCCATGAACAAAACACACGAAATCCTCTTCATAACAGACGAACTCGGGCTGTGTTCAATAGTGAAATCTCACAGATTCTGAAAACTGAGAAGGATTTGTCAGAAGTATCACATTTAATTTGTAATACAATACCCTGTCCCCCACCCCATTAATCCGTTATAACGGGGGTTTGCAGTACTGTTCTGGAGAAACGCTTACCAATCTTGCAAAACTCCCAAAATTATACAGCGTTCTGGGTCTGTTAGAAACGATTGAGCCCATGATATTCATACCAACATAATAATCTTCCAGCAACTCTTCTACCCTAGAGAACGAGGCTGCACCTTCTTCCGAAAGGTTGGTATCTATCTACCGGCTTCATTGCATCACATCTCATAACACAGCAATCGTCCACAAAGCTGATCATCTGACATAAAAGGTGTTTAAAGTGAGGCACGTACACGGGGCCTCAATGAGGTGAAATGTGGTCCGCCCCAGTCTCAAATGTGGGGCCCCCGTCCCATTCCGAAATCCATATAAATATATGACTATATTTAATAGTTAGCAGTTTAAAATAAAATGTAGACACATTTTAAATTGTACAATATAAAATATTTAATGTGTTTTCCGATTTAAATTTTAGCTTAAAATAACATTTGAGGTCTTTAATAGATAATTTTTAAATCTTGCAATAGAAAATATTTACTGTGTTTTTCAATTTACACATCCTTTACATTTATTTGATATGTAATTTGACAATGATTTTATTTTTTTAATTAAACAAAAGAATATTTGGGGCCCAAAGAGGTCAGCAGCCTGGGCAAAATGGCCTCCAATATGGGTCTGAACACACACACTAACATGATATTTCATAAGTCTCTGTCCTTTTAATTTCTTGTCCGTAAGCATTATTAATGTTCGGCCTTCCAGTCCACGCAGTAACATCACAATTGATTTTACGTCAAATTCATTACAATATTTTCGCATTGCAGTCTTGTGGGTTATGACGCGGGATTGTAAAATGTAGTAATAACTATGGTTTCGCAGGAGCATACGGCGCCCCCTTCAGGTGTCAGGAGACTGCACGCCTTCTAAACTTCGCTGCCCGTTTACGAGGTAACAACTGCGCGTCATGACCCGCCAGAGCTCCGTCATCATAAGAACTCAGAAGTTACATTCTGTTCTGATCCGTTCTGTCAGACGTGAAGAAAAGTAATCATTCCAGATAAAACAACGTACTCTCTGTTCCCTTCATCACACCAGGATATCCGTCGGTTCCGTTCGTTTGTTTGTTTGATTGTTTGTTTGCATTATATCAACATGAAGAATCACAAAGTGCACCCAGGCTTCCTTGGGAATACGGTTGGGCTCTACTTTCGTTATTTTCCTTACAAGTACCATGATAGGAAGCTTTCTAAATTTTCTTCCTTGTGCGTCATAAAGAACGAATGGTCTTCGTAGACATGTATTCACAGTGCTAATTTCGTGGACGTACGCAGAGGTACGCAGTGCCTGCACCTCTAAATAATGTTTACTGAACATAAAGTTCAATCTTGGAAAGCGATACTATACCAATCCAGTAAAGCTCATACTAAATTTCGTTAAAACTGAGCAACTGGTTCATGAATTGAAAGCAGGACACAAACACAAGTATCGGTACATTTTCCCCCCAAAATGCAATAAATTTATTTTAAAATCTCACCAAAATGAGCTTGTGGTTCACGCGCACTTCTTGCCGCTTCTTAGCAATGCATGAACACCCCGCTGTGGCGCTAGTGGGCCTTACTGAGCACCAGACCATACCTGATATAAGTCTGTTATTATCGTGAGACATGTTGTCGTGACCCAAGATGGTGGCGGGTCGACTGAATTATGTTGGCCGAGCGGTAGCGTAATAATTCAGTGATGGTGATGGTCAGTTGGCTGCTGGAGCGGGTATTCCAACCACAAAGAGCAAATACTCACTACAGATAATAGAGGATTTATTGATTCTTAGTGTATATTACATACAAGCGCTGGTGGACGTAAGCCTGGCCAGCCTTCCCATAGCCCCAACCCAGACAAAATGCACCCTTCAACTTCCCTCTGTTTCTTAAAACCTAACTAAAACTAAACTTGCAGACCAATATCCCGAGACATGAACCCTCACGCAGATCAGA